TTTATTTATTGTTAATTATGTTCTGCTTTAATGAAACGACTAAAATGCCCCAAAGCAGGAAGGTGGGCATCATCAGTTGGCGCTGGGGCCAGGAATGGTGGAACGGCTCCAAATGGCAAAGATGACAGACCCACGCTCGCTGGTCTTATTCACAGCTTTGGCCCAAGGGTGGAAAGGGTTAAGGCAGATCCACCCGTGCATGAGCACAATGCATGCCTCAAGGTTCTGGAATGTCCGACACTCAGACAGATCTCCCGGTGGCCACCCATTGAGGCAATAGAGGCCAGATGCAGAGAACAATTAATAAAGAAGGGAGACGGGGTTTGAAGGGGGGGGGGGGGGGTAAAAGGAGGGGGGGAAAACTCCCCAAAGGCAGACAACAGTCGGCGTTTGGAGTCAGGTCCAAGGCATGGCCTGTTCTTGGAACTGGTGGTGGCAGAGGAAGGAGTGGAGCAGCAGCTTTCCCTCTGCCTCAAACATGGTGGATTCCCATCTTTCCAGCTCCTCCTCGTGTGAAGGGAGCTCGCTGCAAGCTATTTAAAGCGTGCCTACTGCTGGTCAAAAAAAGCAGTCGCAGCAACCAAAACGACCCCATCTGGCCACCGAACAGCTTTTCTTGGTAAAAGGGGGAGGGGGGTTCAGAAGCCCACCAGAGCAGATTGTTACACTAACACAGAAACAGCAGCTCAACTACGGAAACAATTACTTTCGGCAACTGAAATGCCCAGCACATATTCTCAGCCCGGAATCCAGAGAACCATGCAACAACTTTCCATGTGCCGAGACACACACCCCGACCCCAAATTTCCTAAATAATGGTTTGAAATGGGGGGGGGGGGCTAGTTTGTCCCAGTCAGAATTCTAAACGCTTTCTAACAGGGGGTGCCTTGTATGGCAGGCAGGTATGTGCTCCCGACCACATGTGGCTGTGCCTCCATAGCCATCTGGAGGGGCTGTGGCTCGGTGGAAGAGCCTCTGCTTTTTGTGCAGAAGGTCCCTGGCTCAAGCCCTGGCATCTCCAGTTATAAGGACCAGGCAGCGGGTGATGTGAAAGACCTCTGCCTGAGACCCTGGAGAGCCACTGCCTGTCTGAGTAGGCAATACCAACCCAGTTGGACCAAGTATAAGGCAGCTTCATGTGTGTTCATATTCAGACAGTCACACTACACACTTCTGAATCCCAGTGGCTAGGAAGCAACATCAGGGAAAGGCCTTGGCCTCTTCCTGTGCCCTACGTGTTTGCCCTACAGTGTGAAACAGGCTCCTGGAAACAATGGACTGATCCAGCAGGGGTGGTCTTTGGACTTGGAAACAGTAAGCAGAAGAACAGAAGCTCCTGGAATACCTTGCTTCTTTGCAACTTAACCTTGGTTAGTTTTGAGCCTGGTGGTGAAGTGTCCATTCTGCCCTGCAACGTCCAACAGCATCCCTGATTTCCAATCTTCCCATTATTCCCTGGAGATGAATGCAATGGAGATTTCCCATCTTCCCCTGGGCAAAGCTGCAGATGCATGATGACCACCACGCCTGGGGCTCAGTGCCACAGCCCATTCCATTCCGCTACGCTTCTCTACCCACCCACCATTTAGCTGATGGCTGCCAATAAAAACTACCGTCCTTCTGATGGGCAGCCGTGTTTTTCCTTTTTCATTTTAGAAAGTGATGTTTGTATCTCCAAAGATGTCTTTTCTTTTTTTAAAAAAAATCAACAGGGCCAATTTTAACCCACAAACTACCGCAAGCCCTTGAGGGGGGCAGACAGAGGTAACTGCGTGGGGTAGAGTAAAATTATCCCTCTAATAAATGGACTATTTCATCTTCTACACTAAACTGGGGGGGGGGGAATGTGTGCAGAGCAAGTAGAAATTTTATTAAACCAGAGGAAGGGCTGGAGAGCAAAGAGGGCACCATACAAGAGTCTCCCCTGCATTTTACCCAAACGACAACCCAGTGTGGGAGGTTAGATCGAGGGAGTGGCTGACTCAAGCAGACTTCATGGCCGAGCAGGGCTCTGAACCTATTCCGCTTGAGAGAGAAAAAACTGTTTCTGGTTTATATATCATCTAAATCAAGATGACAACACTTTAAAACAGCCCCCAAAGGCAGACACTTAATTCTGCTTTAGATGACGGCAACGTGCTTTGACCCACCCTTCTCACCGGCCAACCGCTCAGCTTTCATGACTGTTCACCTACTGGATTGAGTTCTGAAAAGTGAAGGCGGCTGGGAGGGGCGAGTGTACTTTGTTCTCTCTGCTAAAAGGAAACAAATAAAAGAAGAAGAAGAGAAACTCCACGCTAAAAGGTGGAAAGGAAGTTCCCACGAGAGCTCTAAGAAATGCTTCGAGAGAAAGAGAGAGGGTTTTATCCTGAACGGCCTCGATCTCGTTACTGCTGACCAGCCCGAGTCACTCTCACGGGCAGGAAGTTGTGCCACCAAACTCCCAATGCAAAAAAGATTAACCCCCCCCCAAAAAGCTTATACGTTTCAGTTGACTACAAATAAGATAAAATAAAAATGCCCCCCTCTGAAATCCACGTTGACAAATTCTTTAACAAGCTCTGTGGTTACAGGGAAGCTGGTTTTGCTCTGACTCATTCCTGTTCAAACAGTTTACTGGAAATGGAGGGGAGGGGGAATTTTCAGAGAAATCATGTGATGGCCAGACAAACCACAACCAGCGAGGGTTCAGAGGAGTCAAAAGAGACACGGGGGGGCGGGGGGGGAGGATCAACCTCGGGTCTTCTCTACGATGGACACGCCATCATTCCCCTAACCGGACTCTGCTTGTGTGCTCTCTCTCTCTCTCTCTCTCTCTCTCTGAGGTTTCGGCTCTTCCACCCCTTTTCCCATGCTTGTATTTCTTTAAAGGAAGACAAGACATCATCGGGAGAGTAAACAAGACAGCAAGCCATTGATAGTAACACAGGCAACTGCCTAATATTTTTTTTGGCCGGGGGACCGAGTGGCACGGGAGCAGGGAAAGAACACTTTGTGCGTAACCCGCGAGCGCTCTGGTGAACGGGCCGCTTGACGGCAGCTTCTCACGCTACGGCTTGCTGCTGTGATGAGACCCCCCCCCCCCCCGTTGCTTTCACCGGCACGCCAACACAGAAGCGTCTGGCGCGTGCAAATGATTAACACGCAGGGGCTGCCTGCCTTGAATCCCCACGGCAAGGTGACTAGATGCCAACACCGCTCAATTCGGTGACAGCCTGGCAAAAAACGTGGCACTCCTTGGAGGCTGTAGGGAACTTTTTTTTAAGGGGTCACCTAGGGAGGCTTGGCTTGTGGCCGTTTCTGTCAACCAGAGGAAAGAGGATTAACACTGCCCTGATTGCACCATCGATACAATATCACTGGCTAGCCCAGGATCTGAAACCCTTTACAGAAACCTGGCAGTTTTAACTCTTAACCCCCTGCACAGTTTCACACATTATACAGCGGCAAACCCAAGTATGCCATTGTGCACGCTCAAATACGGCATCACCACGGCCAAACCAGGGACTTGATAGGTATCCCTCTGCCTTACATGTCCTCAAACACGTTGTTTTATTACCTCTTGCTTTTACGGGCCCGGCAGGCAGGAACCTGAAACCAGATTTTTCCCGCTTTGCTTGTCAGCAAGTCCACCATGCACGGGTATGAGGAGTTCTTAATGCTCTGACCTAGAAATCTGCTTAAAATCTGCCTGATGCAGAGTTCTGGGGAGCAAAAAAGCTTGCACTTTCTTATACGTCACTGGGCTGGTCCTGATGAAGGAATTACATGGACAGCACTCCTGGATTTTTGGATTTCTCTTCCCCAGTTTTAGCTGTATGCCATCAAGTATGCCTAAAGCAGCTTGCAGGGTTCTAATGCCACAGGGAAGAAGCTCATCACAATGGGCAGGCGTTTCCGCAAAACACACACAATCCCAAAGGCTCGAACCACCAATGGCCACCTATCCCCAAGTTGTCCCATAATGCCTGGTCCATATCCCACTTCCTTCCTCGCCTTTATTGTAGCCCAGCTTTTAAAACCCGGGGGATGGCGGTGGTGATGCAGGGGCTTCAGAGGAAAATAGATCTGGCGTATTTATCCTGACTGCAAAGTTGGTCTTGCGCATACAAAACTCTGGAGAAACAGACCACCTAAGCCAATTTGATGGCCTCTTCGCTCTTTCTTCCCTGGCCATCTTTGCCTCCTCCTTTTGTGCAACACTCCTGACATCTGCATCTTAAGACACTTACGTGCTTATCCTGAGGGCTGCCAGCAAATTGGAGGAAAAGCATCCTGTCCCTTTAATTGAGGCCTGTCGTACGGAAATGGGCAGGCGAAACTTTAAACAGCATCCTATTAAATCTCTATTAAAAAGGCAGGAATTTTTTCCTCCAGGCTGTTGGCAACTCTACTTATATCCTGCTTTTCTCCCGGGGGGGGGGGGGGTGGCGGCGGCAAAGCAACTTACATGCTCCTTGTCTCCATTTTATCCTCACTCTGTCAAGTAAGTCAAGCTGAAAATGTGTGACTGGGCCCAAGGTCACCCAGTAGCTTCCCCAGCTGGGTGGAAATTCAAACCTGGGTCTCCCACATCCTCGTCCAACGCTCCAACCACCACAGAACACTGGTTCCTGTATAGTAAGTCTGTGGGTAGGGGGCTGGGGGCTGTCTGGCTTTTCACATTACACCCACAGCACTTGCATTTTTGAATCGATAATAGCAGTGGTGCTATTAACTATGTAAAGCTTCTGGTTGACGTGCCTTCCGTCGCTGGCATCTCAAGCCGAGAGGATCTCGGGCAGGAGCAGTTGGGAAGGACCTCTGTCTAGGACCCTGAGGAGCCCATGCCAGCCCAGAGCGGACAGCGCCAGGCTGGATACATCAGTGCTCTCATTCAGTATATGGCAGTTGTTGCTTCCACCCTCTGTCATCAGCCACATCCTAAATGCAACCAGCTGCTCCTCAGCAGGGAGAACAGCTTCAGACGGCCACTGCTGGTCGTCAGACTCCATGCTTACTTGTGCAGCCTGCGCCTGCTCCAGCATCTCTTCAAATTCCTGGTACTCCTCATCGTCGGGCTCTGCTCCAGAGAGGCGGGCTGCTCTGGCCATGAAGTACGGAGGCAGCTCCCCAATAGCCGTACCGGCACCCTGGACGGAGAAATGAGAAAGACCAAAACAAATAAACAAGACCCGGCACTTCCCCCCATGCTTAAGAGGGCTGCAAAACCTCGTGAATAAAAACAAACAAACAAAAAGGGTTGTCGCCTCTCATCAGCAGGGCGTTCATGGATTTTGTCAGGATCGGTTTAGGCACGGAGTAGGGTGTGTGTGATGCGGAATGTCAGGAGGGCACCCTGGGGACCCTCCTGCCTTCTTCGGAGGCCCACCACCCGGGATACCCCGATTTCGGCGGCAGCCGGTTGGCAACCCCTTGTGAGGCTTCCCTGAAGGGCCAGGGATCCTCCCCTGCCGTGGCTGTCCAATTACCAAGGGGGGGGGGCGAGGGCGAAGCACCAGCTGGGCCGCCTGCCAAGGGGCTGACAGAGAGACGGAGGAATGGGGGAAGTTCACCAGAGGGTCCGGTAGCCTTGGTTGCGACCCTTTGGTTCTGTTCCTTTAAGGCACGGGTGGCGGGGCGAGGCTGACAGCACGGAGTAACAAAAGACGGGCGGGGAGAAGCCAGGGAGGATTTGCTGACACCTGGGGAGACGAGGTAGTGAGGGGGAAACGAGCGCAAGCCTCATCCACTCAGAGACGTCTACCAGGAGAAGGCCGCCAGCGGGGAAGGTGCAGAAACCTCCCGGGCGAAGTCTGAGGCGACCTCCCGTTGCCAGGCCTAGACTCCCGACCTGGACCCGTCCCGCCACCCAGCCACCTCCCCAACCATCGCAAAACGTGACACAGAATTACAGTCTCTTTGTGACAACCTATTTAGAGGTGATTGGAAGGCTGAGAAGGAATTAGGGCCTAGCTTAGCCTGGGACTACAGCAGGGATCAGTGAGAACGATCCAGCCCCACAGATTTCAAGAAGCAAGCTTCAAGCAGCCTTCGGCTGTCCACCTGTTATGTTTTTGTCTTCTCCTTCCTCCAAAGAGCTCCAGCAGACCTAAAGGGTTCTCCCCGCCCCTCTTGCGGCTCTACAAGAAGCCAGAGAAGATGAGTTAGACTGCGGCAGTGTGACTAGGCCGAGGCACGATCAATTGTCAAGCTGCAATTGGAAACCAGATCTCCCCAGTCCGAGTCTGATACTCCACACTGGCTCCCGAGTGTCGCTTCTGCTGGAGTTAAGGGGGCTTAAAACTACTTGATTCCGGCAGTACTTTTGAAGTCGGCATGGTGGTTTATGATATCGTTAGCCATCTTGAAGCTTGGCAAAGGCATACTTTGAAGGGGGGGGATAACATGTCATATCCTGCCTTTCCTCCTTGGAACTCAGTTTGGTGGCCCAAGATGGGATTATCCCATTTCACTCTGCTGAGCCCACGAGGGTCAGTTAGGATGAAAGCTGGTGACTTGCAGAACGCAACCAAAGACGCTTTGCATCCTAGTGTACTGGAGGAGGAAGAGGAAGAATAAGAGAGTAGTAGTAGTAGGAGATTGGATTTATACCCCACCCTTCAATACCCGAAGGAGTCTCTGAGTGGCTTACAATCTCCTTTCCCTCCCCCTCCCCACAACAGACACCCTGTGAGGTAGGTAGGGCTGAGAGAGCTCTTTCGAGAATTGCTTGTGAGAGAACAGCTCTGAAAGAACTTGTGACTGACCCAAGGTCACACCAGCAGCTGCATGGGGAGGAGTGGGGAATCAAACCTGGTTCTCCCAGATTAGAGTCCACACTCCTAACCACTACACCAAAGTGGCAGCTGTACCTGCAGGGCTTCCTGTTCCAAGATCAAGTACGCTACCCACCGTGGGAAAACATGGGCAGGGTGTGTGTGGGGTGGTCGGGGGCCACTGGTACCTTGAATGTACTCAGAGCACTGCTACCAGATGCAGAAGAAAAAACAGCACTGGTCTGAAATAAGCAACCCTCTCTTTAGTGCCCCGAGCCCCAGTTATAGAGGCCTGCTGTGGGGCCTGACCCTTCCTGTGCTGCAAGGAGGGCCTGCTTGCCCACCTGGAGGTGCAGAGCCACTGTGGGTCCCCCGGCTCTCAGTCCCTGCTCAAAACCCACGCACTTAGGTTTGAGCAAGATGAAATCTCAGCTTCCCAGGGACTCCAACAGGGAGTAATCAGCAATGGTGGGAGAAAGAACCAGCATATCTTCATAACTGCAGCAGAGGGGACCTTGCATTCCTGTTGCCGCAATGACTCAGCAGAGCTGGTTTTCTCGGGACACAAAATCCCCAGACGGTTAAAAACACACCTTTTGGCCATTCTGTGTGCCAGATCCCCACCAGCCACCTGGCTAATCAAAAGTTAACAGAAGAGGAAGCTTGGATCCGATTCAAGAGGCGGCTTGAAATGCAGGAAAAGGTACAGGGGACGACAGTCGACCAGCTGGCTGGAGGAGGGATACAGCTCAGCCACGGGCAGATGTCTTTGCTTGCAGCCGCTGCCCGGTAACAAACGCTTTTATAGAGCCCCCTTTTCAAGCAACTTGCTCTATCGCTGTTTGGCTTTCTTTGTTCACTTCCCCAAAGGCAGCTGCTGGGGAGAATCGCAGCTGCTTCGTGTGCTCTGGCGAGCCCATCAGGTTGGTTTTAAAGACTTCTTTGGGGGGGGGGAGTTTTGCTAACTAGAGGAGGGGCCGTGGCTCAGTGGAAGAGCATCTGCTTTGCATGCAGAAGGTCCCAGGTTCAATCCCTGGCATCTCCAGTAAAGAGCTGCTGCCAGTCAAAGTAGACAAATGTGGATTTCGATGGACCTAAGCTCTGATTTGATATAAGGCAGAATCATGTGTTCATGTGTGTTCAATTACTGAAGACCGCGTTCCACTGAGAAAAAAAACACAACACACATGGCCCACCACGCCAGTGTGTTTATTTCCCCACAGCTATCCAGATGTGAACAATTTACATCAAGGAACATGTTCAGCTAAAGGTGAAAAAATTGACCTCCCTGTTCACACTGGCCTCTTTGGTTCACAGGGAGGGACCTGCAAGTCTGGTTTACAAACCAGATAGGCGGGAGAGGTTCAAAGGGTCCACACCTGAGGGTCCTTGTAGAGGTGGGTGCCGAGGGGGCGAATGGGTACATCACGTGTCAAAACACCTACAAAAGGTAACGTATGACACAGCTGGAACACCCAGACAGCTGTGCGAGGACGTTTCACGTGCATCATCTGTCTTCCTTAAAAAAACAATGAGGGAGGAATGGTGCAAACTGCGATCAGGTATATAACACCTGCCCCGTCAATAAACGAAGGGTAGTGCCTGCGTTTCTGCATACCCGGTGGGTATTCGGCTCTCAATGACAAAGCGCCCAGGGCCCTGAGATTGCAACAGCCACCCATGGAACCATGGAAGAGGGCACCGTACAGGTCCTCAGATCTGAGAAGAATCGTGAGAGATTACAGAGGGACGAAAACACCCACTCGGAGCCCTAAGGCAAGACTACCCGCTCAGCCGGCTTTCACAGATAAAGCCGCAGAGGGTGCCGCAAGCAAAGAGCAGGTGCACCGCCGAAAGGGCCCCTTGGAGGAAGTGGTTCTGGATGACTCAGAGCCAGCCAGGCTGCAGGCAGTTGGAGGGCAACAAAACTTGAAAGTCGGTTTTTAAAAAAATGTTTCCCGCCAGTTTTGCGTAGGAGAAAATTTCTTTCTAGCGTCAAATCCTTCAGGCGCCGAGTGCAAGCAGGGATCCAGGCAGCCGGGGCTCACGCTGACTGATCTCCAGGGCAAGCGTTGTGGCTACGGATGAAGCGTAACATTACCCGCAGGGAAATGCTCCCTCTAAACTGTGGAGTCCTTTGAGCAAAAATTCCACTTTGTGAGCTACTGGCATTAAAGTTGTGAGCGAGCAGCTTGGCTGCTGCATAAATTAGTTTGCTCTGGAGCCATCCTTCCTGAGCGGAGACAAAAATGTGTGCGCTGGAGGTAAAAAAAACTGTGAGCTAGCTCACACTAATTCAGCTTAGAGGGAACACTGCCCGTGGGAAGGAAACCGACCCTCCATTCCCTACCTGACTTTGCTCCTCTCTCAAGGCAGAATTAGGCACTGCCAAAGCCTGCAGGCCTGTGCCAGAGTCTGCCCTCAACCTTCACATGACGCTTACCTGTTCTATCAAGGTGTTATAGCTTCACACATCCTACCCCTCGCCCCCCGTGACTGGCTACTGCAGCCGGCGAAATAGCATCTGGGGACCCAAAGTTGAAATAGACTGCATCTGTGAGGCTTTGACCAGAATCTTTATCATAGGAAAGCTATTGAACTTTATTAAGGATTAATTGTTTTTAATTCTTTATATATTTTATGTTGTTTACTGTATCTGATGGAACCCACCCTGGGCCTGCTATGTGGGGAGGGTGGGATACAAATCCAATCAAATAAAAATAAATAAATAAAATGGTTATATGAGAGGAGGGAGAACAGAGGGGTCATTTCCTGTGGGAGCGCACAAGAGCAGAGCTCCAGTAGTAAGGAGCCCAGGGGGCAGGCACATGCAACAAGCCCCGCCCCATGCTCCCAGCAGCCCTCAGTCAGTCCACGAGGAGCAAGAAGCAGCCAGGTAAGTTGCAGAGCCCCCCAGAGCCTTCAGGTACAAGCCCTCCCTCCTCTGTGAGTGCAGATCTGTGCTTCCCCCCCCCCCCATAGCTAGCAATTCAAAACAGTCCAGTGGCACCTTTAAGACCAAGTTTTATTCAGGTACAAGCTCTCCCTCCTCTGTGAGGACAGATCTGCACATTCACCCCCCTCAATAGCTAGCAATCCAAAACAGTCCAGTGGAGCCTGAGTGACGGGTGTTGCCTTCTGACACACTTCCGGTGATGTCAGGGGGTGTGGCACATGCAAATAACTTATACTAATGAGTTATGCTAATTAGTTGTGCTAATGAGCTCCTGCACCTCTTTTTCTACAAAATGACCCCTGCTGACATCAAATATCACCTTCTGGTTCCGTCCTCCGAGAGTATGAAAGGCAGAAGTACTTTTCTCCCTTTCTCACAATACAAGAACTCATGGGCACTCAATGAAATTGCTGAGCTGTCGGGTTAGAACGGATAAAAGGAAGTACTTCTTCACCCAAAGTGTGAGTAACACATGGAATTCACTGCCACAGACGGTGGCGGCGGCTACAAGCATGGATGGCTTCAAGAGGGAAGCGGATAAGCATATGGAGCAGAGGTCTATCAGTGGCTATTAGCCACAAGGTATAGATAGGAACTCTCGGTCTGGGGCAAGTGATGCGCTGTATTCTTGGTGCTGGGGGGCGGCAACAGTGGGAGGGCTTCTAGTGTCCTGGCCCCACTGCTGGACCTCCTGATGGCACCTGGTATTTTTGGCCACTGTGTGGCAGAGTGCTGGACTGGGTTGGCCATTGGCATGATCCAACATTTGCTTCTCTTATGTTCTTATGAACAAATTTGTACTCTAAAATCCCAGTTTGTCAGGGAGGATTCAAATTATGAGCCTGAAAACATTTTTAAGCCTGTACAGTTAATCTGGAACCAGTTAAGTTCTTGAGGTGATGATGCAAAGGGAAAAAGAGAAAGAAAGAAAAAAACACCCTACTGTTCCACAAGAAAAACGACACTTTGTTTTGGCTTCATGTCGCTAACCCAAAGGAAAAACAAAAGGTCACCCTGTACGGACTGGAAGTGAACTTTCCCTGAATTAGCTGGGTCACGTGCAGAGGGCTGCCAAAGAGCCCAGACAGAGGAGGAGAACACATGACCAATGCTCCCTCTAAGCTGTGGAGTCTTGTGAGCAAAAAATCCACTTTGTGAGCTACTGGCATTAAAGTTGTGAGCGAGCGATTTGGCTGCTGCAGAAATTAGTTCGCTCTGGAGCCATCCTTCCTAAGACAAACATCTGTGAGCTGGAGGCTGAAAAACTGTGAGCTAGCTCACACTCACTCAGCTCAGAGGGAACACTGCACATGACCCCAAGAAACTGATGATCCCCCTAACGTGGCCTTTCCTAAACGTTCTGGAAACAGAAGCACACCTTCCCCCCACCCTGAACTGAAACTGGAGTATACTCTGCTTTTAACCCCATTCCCGGGGGTGGGGGAGTTTGGTCTCAGAAGCATAGATTTATCAGCCGCCCTCAGAAGGAAGCGAGTTGTCATGCCTGACCGTGACACGAGTCTCTGTGAGAGTCTGTGTTCTGGCCATGTCACTGAGAGCAGTCAAATGCACTGCCTTCTCTTCACTGGAAGCGACTGAATGAACCATTCCCGCTGGAGGACAGGGGACCAGGAAGAACGACTCACCCCCAGGCGAACTTGGCCGGAAGGTGAAAATACTTGCTCTCTGCTTCTCCAAAGAGCAAGACTAGATTGTCACAGGGTTAAGTTACAGGAGGAGAGATCTCAGATGAACATTTAAGAGAAACTGCTGCATGCTAATGAGCAGTTTGACAATGGAACCAATTTCTGGGGCAGGGGGCACCCTTGCTCGCTGGCGGTTCGAAAGGCTGGAGGGCCATCTGTTGGGGATGTTCCAGATTTGGACCTCCTCCATGAGCGCGGGGGGGGGGGGGGGGGGGGGAGACGACGACGACGACGACTAGATGGTCCCTTCCAACGACAACTCAGTTTAGATGCTGTGATTAAACTAACCAAGGCTAACGCGGCTGTCTGAATGGAGGACACTCCACTATGGTTACACCGGTGTATTAACCACAATTAGTCTCAGCTATGGCTCTATGTGAGGTCTGAATGCAGACATCCAGGCTTAATCTGGACTGGTTCTCTGATGACACCCACCCAGGTTGCAGAGTAAAGTCAATGAGATCGGCATCTGCGTGACACTGAGCTGCACCTTGGTTTCATAAGCTAGCCACGGAAGCTAGCCTACAATTCTGTCAGCGCCATGAGACAGGTTCTGTGTTGTGATCCCCCCCACCCCATCACTGGCTTCTTTGCACTCAATCTAACCATGGTTAAAGCCACAAAATTTAACAGGGCCAGAGGCATTTCTGGCGGGGGAGGAAATTATACCCCTGGGAGAGCATTATGTGTTTCACAGAACAACTTTTTGGTGGTCCCTGGCCCTAGACATACCCGGCTGTCCTCAACCGGGGCCGGGGCCTTTGGGGGGGGGGCCCTGGCCCCGACCTGGTGGAACTCTCGGCCAAATAACACCAGGGCCCCAGAGGAGCTCATGCAATTCCACAGGGCCTGTAAGGCAGTGATGTTCCACCAGGCACTTGGTTGAGGACAGTGACGGTTTACATTATGGCTGGCACCCCACCTGGATCTGCATTCCTTGTGGAGTTTACTCCCTCCCTATGCTTACGAGGCACTCACAGACCAGATATGGGAGGGAACCGCAGACATTTTCGCCACTTGCTTTTAATTATTGTATAATGTGCTGGATATGGTTTTATGTTTTTAAAATTTGTACATCGCCTAGATTTTGTGGGGATTTTGTGGGGATTAGGTGACTAATGAATGCAACGTAAAAACATACTCATCGGGAAGCTGCTGAGTGTTTCTCCTCTACTTCAAGGCACTTAAGCCTGGGCATGACCTGGGCATGACCATGCTCACCAGACTCCACAGCTTAGAGGGAGCACTGATCCTGAGTGGACCCTGATTCACTGGGCTGGCTGTCTCAGGTCCTGCTAACGCCCTCTTTGGCACTTGCCCTCCAACGTATGCTTGTGAGCTCCTCCTGGCATTAAAGTTGTGAATGAGTGATTTAGCCACTGCATAAATCAGTTTGCTCTGGAGCCCTCCTTCCTGAGCTGAGACAAAAATGTGGGAGCTGGAGGCTAAAAAAACTGTGAGCTAGCTCACACTACCGCAGCTTAGAGGGAACACTGCTCAGAATGCGTCCCTTTTGTTTTACTGGCTCATTTTGGAGATTTCTGCACCACTTTGGGCCCCCCTTTGGGAAGAAAACTGGCATAGAAGTGCGCTAACAAACAAAATAAAGGTTTGGAGTCATTGCTCCACTTTTTGTTTTCTGTCTGTCTTTAGTTGCTGTACCCCCGATGGCTGGGGAAAATCATACTCATGACCAGTATTCCCTTTTAGCTGAGTCAGTGTGAGCTAGCTCACAGTTTTTTAGCCTCCGGTTCACCGATTTTTGTCTTCGCTCAGGAAGGATGGCTCCAGAGCAGACTAATTTATGCGTTAGCCAAATCGCTCGCTCACAACATTAATGCCAGTAGCTCACAAAGCAGAATGTTTGCTCACAAGACTCCACAGCAGAGGGAGCACCGCTTATGACCACGGTTTGCCATATGGAGCTACACCCTGGGTTTCTCGAACCACGGTTTGGTGTGATGCCTTAACTGATCATGTCAGGACACAGGAAGTTTTTCCCCCATACTGCAAATGAAGGAGGAAAAAAGTCAAGGCGAGGATGCTATGTTGGCAGCGGCCCCACAATTCCCATGATGTGCAGTTCCGTCGTTTGCTTCAGATGGGGAAAAAAAACTGCTGAACAGATGACCGGGCCGCAAGCAAAGCTGGGCTGTAGCATCTCCAAAAGTTGACAGGACAGAAAGGGAAGCCGCAGCCCATTTTTCCCAGCAGCTTCTCCAGAAGCAGGCTGGAATTAGGACAACATGGAGAGATGCAGCTGCCGGGCTCGCTGAATTTACAGGAAACCGGCGGGCTCACGTAAACAAGGCCAAGAAAACATGTCATGACATCAGATAACAGTAGCAAGAGGAAGAGGTTCCCCGAGGGAAACAGCCACACGTTGATCTTCACTGTCAAAAAAAAAAAGGCAGCAGCCTAAGGAGTGCTGCATATGTTTTGTCTCCGCTTAATGTTATGTCCATTCTGGCAAATGACGGCCAGTCTCTTACCCACTGTGAAGCTAAGGGGGCAGCAGCTGTTTACTAAAAAAAAAAAAAAACGCAAAAAATTAACCCTCGAAATTACTCCTCACACTAATTGTGCAGATATAGGAAGTACATAACAGATTAAGGAAACCCTAGTTCAGGGGTCTCAAACATAAGGTCCAGGGGCCGGAACTGGCCCATCCAGGGTTCTTATGTGGCCCGCGAGCAACTAGTGCAAGGGAGGAAACAGGAGACTGTTTGTGGGGGGAGTGGGTGCAGCCACTCGGATTGTGGCTTCAGCGTGGCAGAACAACCTTGTGTGTAGCAGTCAAGCAGTGTGGGAGCATCCAGTCCGCCCATGTGGGTTTCCCCCTGCATCCCCCTCCCAGCCCATGGGGCCTTGCAGTGATGATACACCAACTTGGAGCTTACCAGCTCCTGTCCTTTATGCAGTTTATATCTCCAGTAGCTGGCATTACATTTTATGGCACACATGGCCTTGGCCCGGCCCGACAAAGTGACATTTATGTCAGATCCGGCCCTCATAACAAATGAGTTCGACACCCCTGCTCTAGTTTGCATTCATTCATAAACAATTACATTTGCATTCATTCAAAAACAATTATTTTTATTGATTGAAGTACTTTTGTTTTTAAGATGTCTGCATTACCACAGCATCTTAGAAGAGGCATTCCCTTCCCTTGCAAGAAAGAGGGATGCCTCTTTAAAGGCTGTATTGGGACGGACACTCTCCCTTGTGCAAGAGCAAGAGTCTGAAATCTTGCCATCTTGGAACACACTGTCTTTTATATACTGATTGTATGGCATCTTGTTTTGTTTTTAACTTAATCTAAATTATCTATTGCTTTTATCTTGTAAACCGCCCGGAGCCCCAACTGCAGGGCAGAGCGGTTTAGAAGTCTAAATAAATAAATAAATAAAGTTGGAATGCCTCTTCAAAGTTTTGATACATCCTTCACTAATAACAATTTACTTTTTAAAAAGCTGCCTTTAATCCATTTAAATCAATTGATTGATTAAACAAAAACAGATCCAAGATTTTCTTTCACACACACACACACACACACACACAGAGGTGCTTACCTCGCCACCAAAACATACAATTGGAAACGTTCCTTACCCACATGCAGGCCTCCAGCCTGACTTTGGAGATGATGGTCCATAACGAAATTGATCCTTCAACCCCCTCCACATCAGGGCAGATTATTTGGTCGGGGTAGGGTGGCTCAGGGAAGTCCACAGAGTTACATTCATACGCGGCAAGAGTCACTGAAGCTATGTGTGGACCCTGCAGATGGGGGAGGGAGGAAACCAAAATTTCAGCTTTGGCAGCAAATGATGTTCTTGATAGAATCCAAAGGTCTGCACGGTTAGTTCTGAACACACAAAGAAATGTTTGGGCTTGGGCTTCCTCAAACAGCAGTTTCCAATGGAAGGAACTTCTAAAAGCAGATTCTACCGTGTTTCCCCGAAAATAAGACACTGTCTTATATTTATTTTTTCTCAAGAAGACACACTAGGGCTTATACTACAAAAGCATCGAAATCCTGCTAGGGCTTATTTTTTGGGTAGGTCTTATTTTTGGGGAAACAGGGTATTACAGCATCACTTCCCCCCCCCATCACTTTATTAAGACACATTGTTACAGGTAAGACAAGAACAAAACAAAACAAAAGAAGGGGGGGGCTTAAATTAAATAAAATATAAAAAGTATAAAATTCTTTTGAAATGTATCTGTTCTTTGCCAAATAACTTAAAATCGGAGACCAGATTCTTTTAAACTTGGTAACCATTGCTGATGAAGGTAAGGAGTTTAAATGAAAAGTTACTTTAGCTAAAACATTTTGTTCCTAAAGTCTGGAGTGCCAAGACGAAACAGATGGGGCTGAAGGAGATTTCCACTGAGACGCGATTGCAAGTTTTGCAGCCGCTAGTAAAATACCAATAATCAATTGTTTCCATGTTGGTAAATCATCATTCGAAATTAATCCCAAGAGTAGATGTTCGGGTGTATCGTCTAATTGGATCTCAGTAATCGTATAGATTGTCTTCAGCACCGTACGCCAAAAATGTCAGAGCACTGGACAGGTAAGCCAACAGTTTCCCCTGATTTCCCCTTCATGTTGCTCCTTACTGTCCCCTAAGCATCAGGGGCAGCATTTTCTGGAGACCGCTGCAGTGGAGGGCGAGAGCCACCAAAGTTATTTTCTGCTGATAAAGTTTCAGAGGGTAGCCAGATTGATCTGCGGTAGAACAGCTAGATTTGAGTCCAACAGCCCCTGACAGAACAGGTGTTGGGGGGGGGGGGGGGTTCTAAGCTTTCACGAGTCAAAACTCCCTTCATCAGACGGTATCTAATGAAACTCTGTCTGACAAAGAGAGCTTTGACTCTCAAAAGCTTACAGCCCGAAAATCTCTGTTAGTTTCTGAGGTGCTACTGGACTCAAATCTGCCTGTTCTACTGATGGGAAATGTAGTGTCAATCCAACCACACTGATTAGTAAGCTGGGGGGCAGGGCCGGCTTGATCACTAGGCGTTCGCCTAGAGTGGGCCGGCCCTTAGGGGCGCCAAACTACACCTGCCGCCCCCCCACCAAAAGCCCCCCTACCCAGCGCAGCCCATTCCTGCCAGCCTGTGGGAGGCTCCACCGGCAGGGGCCGGGAAAGGCACTGGGCAGCTGGGCGAGGCAGCAGCCGGGCAAAGTGGGTTAGTCGGTGTAGAAATCCTCTGGCTGGCGGCAGCGGCACCCGAGGGAGCAGGGGCAGGAGCAGGGCCATCCTTGGCGGATGGGCGAGGGGAAAGAAAGAGTTGCCCGACAGCAGCCGAGGCCACAAACGCCGCCCCCTCCTCTCACTCTCTCGGAGTCTAGGAGGAAACTTTCAGGCCCTGTGCAATGTCCTGCCAGAGGATCCCTGCCCGGGGGGGTCGGACTCCCCCCCGGGGCCATTTACACGCACTGAAAAGCCCCTCCTTTGCCTCATGTCTCTCGTCGGAACCAGAGGGGGTGGCACCCGGGGGGGGGGGCGCCAAAGGGATCCTTGCCTAGGTTGCAAAGTAAGCTGGGGCCAGCCCTGCTTGGGGAGGGGGCAATTGTGAAACAGCAAAATCAGGAAACCAACAGACAAGGTTAAGGGCTTGTGCATAAGGGATTCCCCAGGTATGCAGAACAACATGACTGTACATAAACAAAGGAAAAACTGAATATGCTCTAGAAGACACAGAACGTTGAGAGCAGTCAGACGTCAGTTACAGTATTACTCTCTCTAATCCCTTGAGAGTTTAGAAAACCCGGGGTGAGGGAGCGTATGGGCCTGGGTGTGTGTGTGTCCCAAACAGTTTCCCTTCCCACCATCCCTTATGGACCTCTAAGCTTGTTGGGGAGGGTCTGACACACACACACACAACCTCTCAAGGTTTAGGCATGGCCTTTTAGCCATCCCCTGTTTTATCCCAAACTAGGATCGCTTAAAGAGCTACAGAGAATAAGCATTTGTCCAGCCTTAATCGCCTACAATAAGGAAAAGTCACCTCCAGGCGACCAGGCAGAGAAGCTTTTGGAGGTCAGCTGGGTAGCTTATTTCCCGGAACTTTCAAATCATCGACAAGCCGTGCAAAATCAGTGACCTCAGTATGCGTGGAAAGTTGAGCTAGGCCGTATTATTTTGTGAGTTAGCATCTCGTGTTGGTCTTGTTTATAAAGCAGATTAAGACTATCAACATTTTAACTTTGAGGCCCTTGAGATTTTCCACCCGGGAATTTAGCTTGGCGGTACCAGCATTCCACCTGGCAAACCTGAGGAGGTCATGACAAAAATCAGGGGAGTCCATCAGCCCAACACCCTCTGCTCAACTCCCAGTCAGCCTCCAGTTACCTCAGTGTTAGGACCCCCAGAAAAGCACATGACACAGCAGCTGGGTCAGCACTTGAATGGGAGACCTTCTGCAAGACCTGCATGCCACATGCCATGAGTTTTGTGATGGACACAAGCTATTAGCCACAAGGTAAAGGCAGGAACTCTCAGTCTGGGGCAAGTGTTGCTCTGTATTCTTGGTGCTTTTGGGGGGGGGGGCGGCAACAGTGGGAGGACTTCTAGTGTCCTGGCCCCACTGATGGACCTCCTGATGGCACCTGGTTATTTTTGGCCACTGTGTGACAAGAGTGTTGGACTGGATGGGCCATTGGCCTGATCTGACATTAGCTTCTCTTATGTTCTTATGTTATGAATATAAGTGTAATAAGTAATAATGAGAATCACCCAATAGGAGTTGAATGGGATAGTGGATACTTTGAGAAATACTAGTTCTTTGCACCTGCCTTACAGTTGTTATGGTAATGAACAGCCATACCACTCGGCATCTACTATTTATCTATTTTATTTAGAAAACTCGTATCCCACCTCTTCTGCCCTTTCAAGGGCCACAGCACTTTACACGATCACAACAGCTCTGTAAGGCAGGCTATTATTATCACCTTCATGCTCACCTATGGCTAGCCAGTAAGTTAATGGCCAAACAGAGAGTTGACTAGGTGACCATTGAGACCACAGCCCATTCTCTTAGCTACTAATGCTACACCAGCTGTCTGCAAAAGAATGTATGTGGAGAACTTTCAGCACTTGAAAGCGCTACACAAATGTGAAGAATTCTCTTTATTACAACACAAGTAAGTAATCCACCGAACATCAGCATCAACTTTTCTTTTCAAAGAGTTAACAGGATATTACTATTGATATAAGTGAAAAAAAACTGGCTCTTTTCCCCAAGCAAGGTACACAAGGATTACTATAGGAACAGATATAGACACAGGGTTGGGTTCACATAGGAGCTCCTCTGCACCCATGCACGCCTTTCCCCACTGCCCCCGCTCACTGGCTTTACAGCTCAGCACAAATCACAGCTTAGCACTGCATCCAAATCTGCTTTGTGCTTTCCCTTGAAGCCAGGACTGCAAACCACAATTTGAAAACCTGCAAAGATAGAAGAGACAACAGGCAGGTGGTGCTCTTTCAACAAGTTTAAATAAGCTGTGGAATTCACTGCCAGTAAATGTAGTGATGGCTAGGGATGGGCACAAACCCAAAGATTCCTGTTCTGTTCGGGGTGGTCCCGAACCAAACCAAGCCCAAAATGGCCAAACCGAACTGGCCAGTTCAGGTCCCCTTTTCTCCTGGCTGACCGGGAAGGGTAAAATGGCTCACAGCCATTTAAACCTAACAGCTGGTGGGCGGGCCTACCCCCACCCTCCTGCCCCACTGTTAGGTTTAGATGGTTGGAAGTCATTTCAGCTATTTGTTTCGCTACTCCCCAATTCCAAGCAAGAGGAAGCGAAATCGATCGCTGAAACAGCAAGCAGCCATTTCAGCCTAACAGCAGGGCGGGTTAGGCTGAAATGGCCCAAACAGCCGAACCGGGCAAAAGACTGGTAAAAGTTTGGGGAAGGTCCCTTCCCCAAACATTAGTTTGGGGGCTATAAACCAGACCAAGTTTGTACTGAATTCTGGCTTGTGAACCGGTTCATGCCCATCCCTAGCGATGGCCACTGGTTCGTGCCCATTCCTAGTTGATGGCTTCAAAACGGATACTATTAGACAGATTCACAAAGAAGAGGGTCCCGCAATAGCTACTAGCCATGGTGATGAAAGACAGCCTCCCCCATCCTTAGGCAGTCAACCTCTGAATACCAGGTGTTGGCTTCCATTGTGCATTTGTTGGCCTACCATATGAAACTGGATGCTGGCCTTGAAGGACCACTGGGTCTGATCCAGGAGGGCACCTCATGGAAAACTCTGCTGCTTCCACCATGATTTCAAGCCACAGTGTCCTAGTGATGGGGCATCACCCACAGAGGTATGGCAGGGATGCCTGAAGGACCGGGGAGGGGCTGTGGCTCAATGGTACAGCATCTGCTTGGCACATGGAAGGTCCTGGGTTCAATCCTTCAATCCCTGGCATCTCCAGTTAAAGAATCTGGTAGTCGGTGATGTGAAGCACCTCTGCCTGAGACTGCCAGTTTAAGTAGACAGTACTAACTATGATGGACAAAGGGTCTGATTCAGTGTAAGGCAGTTTCATGCGTTCATGTGACCAGATGCACCCAGCAGAATGACCTGATCTTACACTTTGAACAGGAGATAGATGGGATAGAGCAGGTAGAGAAAGAAGTCCTTTTCTCCCTTTCTCACAATACAAGAACTCGTGGGCACTCCATGAAACGACTGAGCGATCGGGTTAGGACAGATAAAAGGAAGTCCTTCTTCACTCAAAGAGTGATTAACATATGGAATTCA